CTCTCTCTCTGCCCCTCCCCCGTTCATGCTCTGTCTCTCTCTGTCCCAAAAATAGATAAAAAAAAACGTTGAAAAAAAAATAAAAAAAAATAAAAGTTTAAAGCAAGAAATTCAAGGAGAGCCAGTGCTGTTGCATCCCAGGCATCCCTTGTCTGCCTAGTGGCTGGATGAGCTCCACTATTCCACTCTCTGGCCTCTTCCTCATTCCGTTGTCAATATCGTATCAGAATGCCTTTGCTAAAATATACTCCCAGATAGATCAATAACAACAAGTAATTGTGTTATTAATATTAGTATTGTGGCTACTAATCACAACAATCCTAAAGATGGGAACCCGCAATATCCCCCATTTTATACCTTTGGAAATTGAGGTACAGAGAAGTTAAATAACTTGCCACCAAATCACACAGTGTGATTTGTGAGTGGGTTCAAACAGATTTGTATGACTTCACAATCCAAGCTCTTAAACACTCATTTACATTACGTCTCCTATTCTAACATCTTTGGCCTCCTAATTACAAGCAAAACTAGATCCAAACTATTTCAGCTGGCATGAAGGCTGTCCTCAATCTATCTCGGACTGCCTTGCCCAGCCTTGTTTCCTATCTCCTTACTCAAGTGAGGAGATACTTTTCCCAGGAAACCTGTCCTGGTGCCTGGTTCCCTTTATGTGCTTCCTTACTTTCCCTCGTCAAATGATTTTTTGTACAGAGTCGTAAAAATAAGAACTGATTATTTTTCCATATGTTCCATTAGACTGGGAAGTGCTTTAAGTTAAGGACTCATTGTATCCCCAGCCTTTGGCCTTGACCTACCACATGGTCAGTGCTCTTTAATGAACCCTGCATTCCAGTCAAACCACACCGCCTACTTGTCCCTAGACACCTCCATTTTCCTACCTTGTATTTGCGTATCCTGTTCCCACATTACATGTCCTTTTGCTGGCAGCTTTTGTTTAAGATCTAGTTGAAATACCATCCCCTTTTAGAGGTTTTCTTTTTTTTTTTTTTAATTTTTTTTTTTAACATTTATTTATTTTTGAGACAGAGACAGAGCATGAACGGGGGAGGGTCAGAGAGAGAGAGGGAGACACAGAATCTGAAACAGGCTCCAGGCTCTGAGCTGTCAGCACAGAGCCCGACGTGGGGCTCGAACTCACGGACCGCGAGATCGTGACCTGAGCCGAAGTCGGCCGCTTAACCGACTGAGCCACCCAGGCGCCCCTTAGAGGTTTTCTAATACATCTGGGGTGGAAATTCATTTCTTCTTTCAATGGCTTCATGTTCCTTTCTACCAGCACTATAGCATGTATCACTTCTGCTGTGCGTTAGTGTTTTCTGCAGTCAGCATTGCTCAAGAGACTTTGATGCCGTAGGAAAACACTGAATCATATTGACCTTTGTACCGCCCCATGTGTTATAACAATGTCACGGGGTGCCTGGCAACTCTTAAGCATTTTATAGAAACGTGTAGAACTGAACTTGAATTTGCTTTCCACAGACTGTTCTCAGAAGCCTAGCACAGACGCCAAGAACTACTTGTGACGCCAATATTCTTAGCAGGGGCTCATGGGCCCCAAGGGACTGGTGAACCCCTGAAACTACATGCATGACTGTGCTCATGTGTACAGGAGTTTACTGGAGAGCGGATCATGCCATACACTAGATTTTCAAAGGATTCTGTGATTCAAAAAGAGTAAGAGCCATTGTTAATGATGGTTTATTCCTAATTTCATTAGTTCTGTTTTTTTCTCCTGTCCTCCTTCCCCCTCCTCTCTGCCTCCCCCTCCCCCTCTTTTTCTCCTCCTTCTTCTTCTTTGCTTTATTGGATAGAAATAATTGTGGGGGTGCCTGGGTGTCTCAGTCGGTTCAGCATCTGACTTCAGCTCAGGTCATGATCTCGTAGTTCGTGAGTTCAAGCCCTGCGTCGGGCTCTGTGTTGACAGCTTGGAGCCTGGAGCCTGATTTGGATTCCGTGTCTGCCTCTCTCTGCTCCTCCCAACTCGCACTCTGTCTCTCTGTCTGTCTGTGTCTCTCTGTCTCTCAAAAATAATCAAACGTTTTTTAAAAGTTGAAAAAAATACAATACTGTACATATTGGGGAAAAGATGATAAATCTTAGTAACATATAGAAACAACGTGCATTTTAGGGGGGCTTATTTGAATGATACCTGCACACACACACACAGCTCAATGCTGGTCAGAGTTTGGGGGAGCACACCCTCTCACCTGCTGCCCATGGAGTGAGAATTGCTACACTTTTCCTCTCTTTGTGTCTTTGTTATGTTGGCTCTTGAGTTTAAGAACTGAGATGAGGTAGAATCTCTCACAGTTGTCTCTTGGTAATCGTAGTTCACGCACTTGTCTCACTAAACCCTCCCCCCTTCTAATTTTTCATTATTCTAAACATTTATTTGGCTCCACCTTATTATGTAAGCACTTAATCCCACATTTGGGGTTTTTAATCCTTTGTATCAAATTCCCTCTTATTACTTTTGTTCACCTTTTATAGCTCCCACATTAATTCTTTTCTTATTTTTCTATTTTCCTTTCTGATATTAAGTCTATTTTAGCCTCCTGAATCATCCTATTTTTAACCTCTTTTGTTCTCTTACTCATTTGAGTAATGACTTGGTTATGGTTGTACATTCGACAGTATGGTCTACCTTACAAAGTCTTTTCAGATGCCCGGTGGGTCATACGCTTAAATCCATGTAAAGCGATCAGCATAGTGCCCAGCCCAGTGCATGTAGGAACTGTTAGGCAACACCATAGTCAACAGGCTCAGGGAGGTCACTTGACCTATGTTTACACAGCTGAGTATGCCATGAAAGTTTTTTTTTCAATTTTTTTTGTTTATTTTTTTTAACGTTTATTTATTTTTGAAGGAGAGAGACACAGCGTGAGTGGGGGAGGGTCAGAGACAGAGAATCCGAAGCAGGCTCCAGGCTGTCAGCACAGAGCCCGATGCGGGACTCGAACTCACAAGCTGTGAGATCATGACCTGAGCGAAAGTCTGACGCCCAACCGACTGAGCCACCCAGGCACCCCACCGTGAAAGTTTCTGATGCAGTTCTTTTGGACTCATACGTGGGTGGAGAGCTGACAGAGCAGAAACTCTGAAGTCGTTCAGTTCAGCAAATACTAATGGAGTGCTCTGTTTCTTCCAAGTACAAGCTGAGATTCTAGGTTGTACGTGCACATTGTCAGGAGTCATTTAGCTTAATCCGAGATTTTCACCCATTCCAAAAACATCTTTTCTGAATAGAATAAATTAGTCAAGAAATCTTTCTCATAAAGACTAAGAAGTTCATCGAGGCAGTCAGCAAGATGAAACAAAAAAGATTTTGCTTGATTTTTATGGGCCCTTTCCTGCTATGTCTTAGAGACAAAGACGTGTACTTTAGAGGCAGATGAATTTGAGAGGGAATCTTGGCTTTACTCCTTCCAGGGAGATAGGAGCTAGACAGGAACAAAGACTGATGGAAGGCTCTGGGCTGAGAGAACAAGGGAAGATTGAGTTCGGGCTTGGTTTTTAATGTGGGGGCAGGGAGGCGAAATGAGGCTGGTGTAGTCTGTTGTATTTGCTCTGAGCAGGGTGGTGGGGTCTTAGGCGCTAAGGGTGACAAGGGGGAGCATGTGTGCATGGAGACTGAGAAGGAGGGGCCACAGACACCCGGAGGAAATGGGGCCCTTCTGTTTGGTACCACTGTCTGCAACTAGCCACAACCCCGGGTGGACAAGAGGCAGGCGTAGGGTCTACTCAGAGTCGTCTCTTGAAGGAACAAGTCAGGAACCACCTTGATTAGTAGCCATTCGTTCTCATCCAGCCCACTTGCACATCCAGCCCACGTCTGTACACACCACACAGCCTTTCATTCTCTCCCTGCCTCCTTCCCTCTTTCTCTCCCTTCCACTGAACTCTAAAGGCCTGGTGGCTTCTCAGGTTCAAGTCTTTGTCCTCAGATCTTCCCTAACGCCTGGAAAATGCCCTTCACCACTCAACAGCTTTGTCATCTCGGTGACATTACTTCCTCGACGACTCCTTTTTCCTTTTCTGAAAGACAAGGAAAATCATTAATGCCACAGGGTGGCTGGCTGCGAGATCAAATGAGATAAACAGAGAAAGGGGCCTAATATGGCCCCCAGCGTCCATGTGCCCTCCTCCAGCACATCCCCGTGTGCGCTCGTCCTCTCTGTTGCCATGAGCTTGTGTCTTCATCCCTTTGCACACAGAGCCCGTTTGTTCCTCAGGGACTCAAGCGGCTGTGCGCCAGGTACCAGAAAACAAAGTGCCTTTCACACTGTTGCTCTCATTCTTCTTCACAGAACCCTTTAAGGGAGGAACACTTTTTCCTTTTTATAGCTGAGGCTCAAAAACTGTGAAGCAACTTTCCCAAGAGCCACAGCTAGCCAACTATAGAGCTAAGATGCCCACATAGCTCCGGAACTAGAGTGCTTTTCCGCACAGCTGGCCTCAGCCCTGTCATGAATTTTCAGTTGTCTAGCACGTGTTGAGGAAGGGGACATTCTCTTCCAGTTAAACTCTTACGATTTACTGAGAAGTCCATGCTTGCAACCCAGAGTTACACTAAGCATATCAGCTTTTTTTTTTTTTTTTTTTTTGTGAGTCACATGTTCTGAATTCTACCCCCCCTCACTAGACTCTAAGGTGCTCGAAGTTAGAGACCTTGTTTGTTTTATTCTAGTTACATATTCCTGTCTTGTTCTTGGGACAGTGTTGGATGCTCACTCAATTTGTGTAGGTTGAATATATGAATGAATGTTTATAAGGTATAGAAGCACATCCTGGAGCGATTTTAATCCTAGTCTAGCTGAGAGGAAGAGGAAAGAGGGAGCAGAGAGGAACGTTCTCATCATACCAAGGTGCACACACAGACTCTGCTCAGTGCAAGACCTTCCTCAGCGACACACAACCCCTCCATTCCTGGACACGTGGACATGTGCATAATCAGTTGTGACTATTTGACTATTTTTCAGCTTGTGGAGAAATATGGAAACATTTTTAGCCTGCAGCTCGGTGACATGTCTTTAGTTCTTATAACTGGATTGCCCTTGATCAAAGAAGTCCTTGTCGATCAGAACCAAAACTTTGTGAACCGCCCTACAACTCCTATCCGAGGACGTATCTTTAAGAACAATGGTAAGTTTCTTAACTAATGTACGGCGTGTATGCTTGATATTTTTATGATCTGTTAAAGGTGCCCTTGTGACTGTAATTCTCCAATACTCCCAGGGAGCTGGGCCATTATAAAGTTCCTACAATTAAAGAAAGCTGGATTCCCACATTTGCTTATTAAAGGCACCCTCTTAGGGGCGCCTGCGTGGTTCAGTCGGTTAAGCATCCAACTTTGGCTCAGGTCGTGATCTCATGGTTTGTGGGTTCAAGCCCTGCATTGGGCTCTGTGCTGACAGCTCAGAGCCTGGGGCCTGCTTCAGATTCTGTGTCTCCCTCTCACTCTGCCCCTTCCCTGCTCATGCTCTGTTTCTGTCTGAAAAAAAAACAAACATAAAAAAATTTTTTTTTTTAAAAGGCACTTTAGAGAACTTGGCAGGGTCCTGTCAGGGATTTGAGAGAAGCTGTGTCTCCTGCATGAACTCGCTCTGGAAGCACTGATTACTCAGTGAAAACAGGGGAAGAGTCAATGCATTCTTGTTCTTTCTGCTTTCCATTCAAATCTCTTCCCCTGGGAAAATTCATGTGCACCGTTTCCTTCTGCTCCTTATGGGAAGTCCCTCTTCTTGCCTCTAGTTCCTCTGCTTTCTTGTTAGGGCTGTGCCCCACAAGGTATCTCGAGCCTTCCACTCTGTGTTGGAACAGTTTGGCATGAACACTTAAAACTGTCATTAAATAAACATAAACATTTAAAAATCTAAATGGATAACTCAAATGTATTACTCCACCAAAGCAGCCTTTTTTTTTCCCCCAGATGCTTTTTGAAATAGTTTGTCTTTTAACGCTACCTCCACTCCATTTATTATGTGAGGCACGGTGCTAGGTACTAGCAACATGACCATGAGTAGTGCTGACAAAATCTGTGTCCTTAGGGAACTTACATTCTATTCAGAAAGACACTATCAATGAGTGCTAATAACTTAATGCATTAGTATCATTAAGCTGGGTGCAGGATGCATTTATCAGGGGGATCTAATCTAGCCCTGGGATTCAAGGAAAGCTAATGTAAATAAATGGCAATCAATATAACAAAGTGAAGCAGCAGTCAGGCAGAGGGAATAGAATAGGAAAAGTCCCTTAGGTGGGAAGAAGGACAGTGAACTCGAGGAACTGAAAGGTGGCCCATGTGGCAAGTATAGGGATTAAAGAGAGATAATTAGAGGGAAATTCAGCTGCTGAGTGCCAGGAATTGTTCATGCAAGTTCTTGCTAAGGGTGTTGGGTTTTATGCTCAATAACAAGGGAAACTCTAGAATTTTTTTTTTTTAGTGATTTTTTTCATTTTATTTTTTTCATTTATTTTTTAATATGAAATTTATTGTCAAATTGGTTTCCATACAACACCCAGTGCTCATCCCAACAGGTGCCCTCCTCAATGCCCATCACCCACCCTCCTCTCCCTCCCACCCCCCATCAACCCTTAGTTTATTCTCAGTATTTAAGAGTCTCTTATGGTTTGGCTCTCTCCCTCTCTAACTTTTTTTTTCCTTCCCCTCCCCCATGGTCTTCTGTTAAGTTTCTCAGCATCCACATAAGAGTGAAGACATATGGTATCTGTCTTTCTCTGTATGACTTATTTCACTTAGCATAACCAACGGAATGGGAAAAGATATTTGCTAATGACATAATTAGACAAAGGGCTAGTGTCCAAAATCTGTAAAGAACTCACTAAACTCCACACCTGAAAAACAAATAATCCAGTGAAGAAATGGGCAGAAAACATGAATAGACACTTGTCTAACGAAGACATCCAGATGGCCAACAGGCACATGAAAAGATGTGCAACGTCATTCCTCATCAGGGAAATATACATCAAAACCACACTGAGATACCACCTCCTGCCAGTCAGAGTGGCTAAAATGAACAAATCAGGAGACTATAGATGCTGGCGAGGATGTGGAGAAACGGGAACCCTCTTGCACTGTTGGTGGGAATGCAAACTGGTGCAGCCGCTCTGGAAAACAGTATGGAGGTTCCTCAAAAAATTAAAAATAGATCTACCCTATTACCCATCAACAGCACTGCTAGGAATTTACCCAAGGGATACAGGAGTGCTGATGCATAGGGGCACTTGTACCCCCATATTTATAGAATGGTTTCAAGTGGAGAAAGGAATCATCATGTTTACATTGTACATTTATAAAACCTATGTAGGTGGCAGTGTAGAAAATGGTATACAGGGAGCAAGAGACTATTACAGCATTTTAGCTTAGAGAAGGTACTAGCTTGGACTAGGGAGGTGGCAAGAAATGACAGTAGGTTAGGCCAGGTTAGTGGCAGTGAAGATACATAGATTTAAGGTATCCAGGGGGTAAATCCAACAAGATAGGATGACCTAAATCATGGGCGATGGAAAGGAGAGTGAGGTGTTGAGGTGGACACCCAAATGTCTGCCTCATGTGGAAGAGGGCAGGTGTTTAGTTTGGCTTGAGTGGGGAGTTGTATGGAGAGCATCACGAAGCCGATCATGGATACGCTGAGTTTGAAATGCTTTTAAGTCAGCAAAGTCAGGCAGACAGTTGTGTATGTCTGGAGCTCAGGGGCAGAAAGAAGTGGTCACGATCAACAGATGCCATTTAAAAGTTTAGGAGTTGATGAGATTTTTCAGGAATGGAGTATTGAGGGAGAAGAGAAGAGGTGTTAGACCTTATCTTGAAGTACTCCATTACTTCAAAATTTGACAAAAGAAGATGAACCAGCATAAGGCATGGGAAGGGAGAAAATCTGGAGGCCATGCTGTCCTGAGCAACGCTGGAAGGGAGGGCTTCAGGAAAGAAGTGCTCCGTGCTACTGAAAGATCAAGCAAGATAACATTGAAAAGTTTTGACAAAGTTTCAAGATAACACTGAAAAGGTTTGACAACGAGGGCTGCCTCGTGGAAATGGTGGAGGCCAAAGCCAGACACTAAAAGGGGTTGCAGAACACTCTGGAGGTGAAGAAAACAAAGGAGTGTGGCCTTATCTGTGTTGGAAATCAGATGATGGTCTATTGAACACACTGAGTTGTTTCTGGGGTTTTGTTTTTGTTTTTTTTTTTGGGGGGGGGTTGGCTCTTTGCCTTTCCATGTACTATTTCTGCCTGGAATAGTCTTCCTTGCTTTCTTGAGTCATTCCTTCATCTTTCAAGTTCTAGCTTAGATAAGAGTCTCCTGGAAAGCCTTACCTCCTTACGGGTATAGATTTTTCTTGTCCGTGGGTGCATTCTTAGTATGTAGCATAAAATTAATACTTAAATATACTTATGTGACTGGCAATCAAAGCATGGGCTTTGGAATCTAATTTGAACGTCTGTTCAGCTGCTTACTAACTGTAACCTTACAAAGTTGACATTAGCCTTTGTGCCAAGGTTTTCTCATCAGCAAAATGGGAGGGCGACGTAATGATTATACCTACCTCATAGTGTTTCTGTATGTACCAGTGACATAATGCAGTAAAAATACCAAAGCCCCTGTAGTGCCAGCAATGCAATGCAGTAATGCTAGCCACTGTATCTACTGCATATCCAGAGATATCTACTGTATCTCTGGATAGTTTTCAAGTGCCTCAGTGCCCTTTTCCTTCCCACCAATGCACGTTGCCATACCATTTGCCAGATATTTACATTATAGAATAAGAAAACCATAATGTTGGCATTTTTTTTTCCTTCCAGGATTGATCATGTCCAATGGCCAGACTTGGAAGGAGCAAAGAAGGTTCACCTTGGCAACACTCAAGAACTTTGGTCTAGGAAAGAAGAGCTTAGAGGAATGCATTCAGGAGGAGGCCCGTAACCTCATCCAAGCGATAAAAGAGGAGAATGGTGAGTGTTTCCTAGGACAGGTGCAGGAGATTGTGACTCATTCATTCATTGAACAGATGCTTATTAAGTGCCTTACGTACCTAACCTGTGCCCAGCGTTGTGCCAGGCACTGAGCATATTGCAGTGAACAGCTAACCATGACCTTGCCTTCATAGAGCTCTAGGATTAAGTGCAGGAAGATTAATATTAAACACATTACCAGTTTTAAACCGTGGTCATCAGCTTGCCTTCCCAAGTATTGACGATTTGCTATATGTCAGACCCTAAGTAGGGGACTGTGGCTAGAGCCTCATAGGCGATTCTATACTTAAAATGTCCTATGTCCTATGTCCTATAGAGGAGACTCTCTGTAGAAAATAGAAACAAACCAATCCGAAAGATCCGTCTCTTCTTCCACCTCCAGGACAGCCTTTTAACCCTCACTTCAAGATGAACAATGCAGTTTCCAATGTTATTTGCTCTATCACCTTTGGGAAACGCTTTGACTATGAGGATGCACAGTTTCAGGAACTGCTGAGGTTGCTGGATGACGTCACCTTTCAGGAGGCATCAAAGAGATGCCAGGTAAGAGGTTCTCTTTCAATATCTTGGGCTAGAATATTGGAGCCGATGTTCAAAACAGATGGGTTCTGACCTTTTGGTTTGTTTAAGCTAAAATATCACCCTTTGAAACTGACTTCACTCAAACTTACTGGAAGTCAATCTGTTGACTTTAGTGTTTTCTGATAATATAACCAGATATTTACTCCATACAAAGAACATTTCTAACATTCATGTAAAGTACAAAACGTTACATGATATACACCTATGCATCCATGTTGTTTTCTTTAAAAAGCATGATATTGCCACTGCCTTTTGAGTCCCACCCCTCCATGTCCCTCCCTAACCCAGGCACTCCCCTGCCCCAGAAGTGTTCTTTGGTGCCTGGCTTCTCCCTCCGCAGATTGCAGATTTGTCTGTGTTAATTGCTCTTTTTTAAATCCTGAATAGTATTTCAGTGTATGAATACACCACTGTTTGTTGCTCTGTCCCTGTCTTGATGAACAGTTGGGCTGTTTCTAGTTTGGGGATGTTATGAATAAAGCTGCCATGAACATTCTTGTACAGTTGTTCATGTGGACACGTCCATTCATTTCTCTTGAATTTATACCGGGACATAAAAGATGCCTAAAGGTTTCAAAAGCAGTTACACTACTTACATGCCCATCGGCACTTGATATTACCAATCTTCTCATTCCATAGGGTACAGACCCTTGGGATTCAAACTTCACCCCTTCCTTGGTGGGCCCTGTACTCCATTTTGTCCCTCTGGGTCTGTGAGTCTGTCAATAACTCTGTTCAGCTTCTTGGTCTCTCAGCCACTTTTCTGGGTTTGGAAGACACTTCTATGGCCAAAGCAGCCCCAACTATTAAGGTCACATTTCTTGTATCTAGAAGTGGATTTGTTTCTATTTATTCCTGACAAACATCTTTGCCTGGAGCTTTATGGACCCAGTGAATCAAAACTGATAAAGCATTAGCATGATTCCATGCGCATTAAAAGGGTGCAATGAATGTGAGCTATTATTATTATTATCAAAGTTATTTTTGAATTCCTTTTTCTCATTCCTAGCCATAGGAGTCCCTAATTCAATAACCCCATGTTCTTTGGCCCCATGAATGCAGAACCTAGGAAGTCATGAGAGTTTAGTGGGTACCCAGCTTATCTTCCCCAGGGAAAAGTAATTCCTGAGAGGGTTGGAAGGGGCAGTAGGGTAAGGCTAATAATAAGCATTTCTTGGAGTCCTCACATAGGCCAGGCATCTTGATGGACAGCAATACATACTTTACCATAGTTAATTCTTGCAAAAAAACCTTGAAAGATGAAATGGAGCGTCATGGTGTGTGCAAGCAGGTATGGGAGTGTGTAAGCAAATCCAGATAGTGATCCGCTGGCTCCGTCCTAGGTGCTGTATGGATCTCATGTCGCTCAGTCACCAGAAAAATCCTGGCCCCCCACTGGCAGCTGGTTAAACTAAGGAGCAACAGATTACATCATTGTTATCATCATCGTCATTACTATCAACAGAATATTATGGCTGGAAAGCAGCAGAGCTAATAGACCTGTACCTGTATCTGTTTAAGTCTGAGTGATTTTCCATTATGTCATGCTTCTTTCTACCAGAAGATATTATTAGAGAAAATGTTTTCAAAAATACTTTATTTCAGTAAAATATGTCTTATCTACATGGAGATTACATCATAGCAGGGCAGACAAATCCATAAGACATGCATCTATCATCTATCTATATCTTACACACACACACACACACACACACACACACACACACTTACTTGGGATAATTACCATGAAGGAGAATAAAACAGGATATGGGAACGGAGAGAGGCTGGCAGGGGTTATAGGATCATCAGGCTAAGACCACTCCAAGGAGGTGACATTTGAACAGCACCCTGATGAAGCGAGGGGCCAGAGTTCTACAGATTTCAGAGGAAGAGTGTTCTAGGTGGAAGGAATAGCAAATGCAAAGACCCAAACAAGAACATCCTTGATGTCATCACAGGGGCCAGTGGTGCTGCACTGGAGAGAGTGAGAAAGAGCAAGATGGCGGGAAGTGATAGCAAAGGAGGTGACAGGTGTGTGTGGTGGCTGGCCCATGCAGAGCTTATAGGCCAGGAGCATGATGTAGAGCTTTGTCCGAAAGCCATGGCAAGTCATTGGAGGATTGAGAGCCAAGGAGTGAAATGATCTGATGAAGGTATAAAGTGATGCCCCTGGCAGCTCTGGAAAACAGACCTGGAGGGGGTTAAGAATGGAATCAGTGAGGCTGATGAAGCCTAGCACAGCATCCAGGTGAGAAATGTTGGGTGTTTGTTAGGGGGGAACGTGGCTGGGGTGGTGAGCCGTGGTCTGAAACTGGACACATTTTGGATGGAGTGCTGAAGTGCTTTGCTAGAGGGTGACAGACAAGAGTCAAGGTGACCCCAAGGTTTTAAGAGCCAGTAAGTGAGAGATGGAAAGAGAATATCGATTGTTTTGTCTCAAAAAGCGAAAAATTGGCACCAAATTGTCTCTCTGAGTGTTTCATTTTTCTCACTTAGCTCTACAATGTATTTCCATGGATTATGAAATTTCTTCCTGGACCCCACCAAACACTCTTTAGCAACTGGGAGAAACTGAAATTGTTCGTTGCTCAGATGATTGAAAACCACAAGAGAGACTGGAATCCTGACCAAACAAGAGATTTTATTGACGCTTACCTCAAGGAGATGGAAAAGGTGAGGAAATCAGAGTTGTTTCCTGTTTGTTCTTAAAGAGCAAGTGGGAGCGTACTCATTTCCTATTGCTGCTGTAACAAATTACCACAAACCTGGGAGCTCCAAACGACGCACGTTTATTCTCTTATAGTTCTGGAGGTCAGAAGTCTGAAATCAGTGTTACTGGGCTAAAATCAAGGTGCTGGCAAGGCTGGTCCCTTCTGGAGGCCCTAGAAAAGAATCTGTTTCCTTGACTTCTCCAGCTTCTAGAGGCTGCTTTTGTTCATGGCCCCTTTTTCCATCTTCAAAGCCAGCATGGAGCATCTTCTCTGCTGTCATCCTTCTCTTGCCTCTCTCTTATAAAGACCTTTGTAATTACTTTGGAGCCACTGGAATGATCCAGAATCATCTTCCCATATCAATATTCTTTTTTTTTTTTTTTAATTTTTTAATGTTTATTTAGTACAGAAGGACAGAGTGTGAGTAGGGGAGGGGCAGAGAGAGAGAGGAAGACACAGAATCTGAAGCAGGCTCTAGGCTCTGAGCTGTCAGCACAGAGCCCAACGAGGGGTTCAGGCTTATGAACCATGAGATCATGACCTGAGCTGAAGTAGAATGCTCAACAGACTGAGCCATCCAGGGGCCTCCTGCCATATCAAAATTTTTAACTTAATCGTATCTATAATGTCCCTTTTAGCATATAAGGTAACACCCACAGGTTCCAGAGACTAGGATATGAACATCTCTGTGGGTCATTATTTAGCTTACCACGGGGAGTCAAAATAGAAGCAGTATTTCATAGAGTATAGAAGCAGCATTAATTCAGGATTGATGAGGCAGGTAGAAATAAGGATAGGGGTAAATGATATTTGGCTTGAGTCCTTGGGGATACTCAAATACTGCCTGTTCATCTTCTATTCTCTGCTCTTTGCCCATATCTGAAGGAGCTATACACAAAAGGAAAGCTAACAGTTGAGCTTCAAAGAACTCTTTCATTGTTATTTGGATCTGGGCCCAGTTGCCTGCCCCTTCCCTCACCCCCCAGTGCAGAACACAAGAAAAGCTGAGTTGGATGCCAGAGTTCAGCCTCAGGGCCTGAGTGGGACTTCTGCCTTCCTCTTTGATCTTCCTATCATCTACTTTCCAACATTATAGGAAAGAAGGAGGGAAAAGCCAAATTGGATGTGTAGCCTTTAGCCCAGTCACCCCTGTGTTCAATATACCTCGATGCATCAGTATCACTGTCATAATCGTTGACGCGTCAGATTAGTTGTATCTCCTCTTGGGATTGACCAGACTGGTAGGTTTCTATCCATCTCCCCTTTTATCTCACCTTACTGGCATAACATTAGTAGAAGCATTGATTTCTCCTCAAAGGAGGAGACGTCACTTGCTAAATGCTGTGCAGGTATGGAGCCACGCACTGAGCAGATTGTTGGCAAATTGAAGCTTCCGGGGCAAAGTGGTAAAGATGAAGGAATTCCATGAGGAATGGTTGATGGAATGAGAGTGGTTTCACCTAGAAAGGAAGACATTAACAGGGAGATACGAGCATTGTTCTCCATAAGAGGAATTCAGATTACTCTTCCTGGTATCAGTACAAACACGTTGAGTATTTGTTATGTGCTCTTTTCATCTCATGTAATTTATAGTGTCATCTTAAGGGGCATGTGTATTTCATTGCTATTTTCTGAAACAGGAAACTGAAGCACAGAGAGATTAAGTGACTTGCCCTAGGTCATACAGCGAGTGAATGGTGTAGCTAATATTGGAACCCTAGTCTGTCTTTCCACTGAACTGATTCTCTTCCCACTGTACTAATAGATTCTCCCAAATTATAGATATAAAAAAAAAAAATAAGTGTCTTGATTTTCATCCACCAAAGCCAGCAAAAGTTTCCAGCACTTGGGGCGAGAGGATGCTAATTTGCTGAAATAAAGTCTCTACCTCTTGAGATGGCCAAAGGGAAAGATATTTCTCCTGGGAATCTTTTCTTCCACATCCTCTCCCTAGGATGAAGCCCCTGTGTGTTGTAGCAACCAAGAACCCACTGAATAAACCTATAACCTTGTGTTTTCTAGAATAGGGGCAATGCTACTTCAAGTTTCCATGAAGAAAACCTCATCTACAGCACCCTGGACCTCTTCTTTGCTGGAACGGAGACAACTTCCACAACACTGCGCTGGGGTCTGCTTTATTTGGCCTTATACCCAGAAATCCAAGGTGAGCATGCCAGTGAGTGTGCCTGGGGCAGGACAGAATGGTGTCTCCTAGAGCATACGGCCCCCAAGTTGGGACTAGAAGATAGGATGGTAGAATGGAAAAATAGTCTTGAGGTGACATGGACTTGAGAATGGGCACGTTCTTCAGTTTTCCTGTTAGGACTGTGATGGGTTCACATAATCCCAGTGTAACAGAGTCCCTGCCCTCAGGAAACTCAGAATCTAGAGTGAAAACAGTGAAGTCAATGGACACTGTGGTGAGTTTCAGGAAAAGACTTACATTCTTATACGAATGTATCTTGTTACAAGCTTCTAGCCTTTTAAGTCATGTCTTCCATTGGCCTGTGGATAATGTTCAGACTCCTGAGTCTGGAATATCATGCTTTCTGATGTTCCTTCTTCTGCCTGTCCAGCCTTAGCTCCACCCACCGTACATGGTGGCCTCACTAAATTACATGCTATTTTCTTGGCACTGTCCTTATTCATGCCTCTGCCATCAAGCTTGCGCTTCCCTCTCATCTGCTTCCCCATTTTCTCTACATGGTAAATCACCAGGTGTGCCTGAAGAATCTGCTCAAATACAACCTCCTCTAAGATGCTTCCCCACTCTAATAGGAAACTACTTACTCTAGAGATGACTTTATTATTACTGGATTATTTTCCTCCTCTAGAGATAACCTAACACACCTCCATTACTATGCGATTGCACATTATTCATATATCTTCCCCAAAGACTGTCATCCATTCAAAGGCAGTGACTATTATAATCTTTTTTTTTTTTTTTTTTTTTTTCCTCTCCAGGACCCAGAACAAATTTGAGCTGGAGAGATGGGATGCTAGGATACAGTTTTTCAAACTTTGGATAACAGTTTATTAACGGGATATAAAATCCAATTTAGTGGATCAAGACCAACATTTTTTCCTAAACTAAAAATAAAGATCAGAGTACTTCCCATGTACGAAGGATAAGATTGTTCATCAAACTTTATTTCTTTCCATATATTTACATAAAAGTATGTTTTATGATTTATGATTTAAAATGCGTTTGGAACTCTGAATTACATTTTCTAAAAAGTTTAAAAGCTATCTCATTAGGATATAGAGTTGGCTTCTGTAATAGGGTCTCCAAAATAACAATAGCTTAAAATGATAGGGGCACCTGGGTGGCTCAGTCAGTTGAGCATCCAACTTCAGCTCAGGTCATGATCTCACAGTCCGTGAGTTCAAGCTCAGAGCCTGGAGCCTGCTTCAGGTTCTGTGTCTCCCTCTCTCTCTGCCCCTCCCCTACTTGCTCTCTCTCTCTCTCTCTTTCTCAAAAATAAATAAATATTAAACAAAAATTTTAAATGATAGTTTATAGCCATCTTCACAGCACCATTATTCACAATAGCCAAAAGGTAGAAACAACCCAAGCGTCTATCAATGGAAGAAAGGATGAATAAAATACGGAATACATTGCAATATTATTCATCCTTAAACAGGAAGGCATTTCTGACATGTGTTATAACACTGATGAACCTTGAAGACATTATGCTAAATTAAATAATACAGTCAAGAAAAGACATATACTGTATAATTCCATTTTTATGAGATTTCTACGGTAGGCAAATTCATAGAAACAGAAAGTAGAATGGGGGTTGCCAGGAGTTAGGGTAGGAGAAAATGAGAAGTTATTGTTTAGTGGATGTACAGTTTCTCAAGGTAAAATGTTCTGGAGATTGGTTGCACAATGTGAATATGCACAACATTATTAAACTATACACTTAGATGTGGTTAGCATGGTAAATTTTAGGTCACATATATTTTACCATAATTTTCAAAACTCATTAAATGGTCAGGAAAAAAAATTCTAGGGGTGCCTGGGTGGCTCAGTCAGTTGAGCGTCTGACTCTTGATCTCAGCTCAGGCAGGTCAAGATCCCAGGGTCATGGGATCAAGCCCCATGTTGGGCTCCACACTTAGCACAGAGCCAGGTTAAGGTTCTCTCTCTCTCCCTCTGCCCCCTCCCCCGCTCACTCTCTCTAAAATAAAAATAAAATGTATTTAAAAAATTCTTATTTCTGTCAAAATTAAAAAAATCTAAGCTTGACTCAGCAGAGCACTTTGGGTTCTAAGCTTCTTCCAACATGTTGCTCTGTTGTATCTAGAATGATGGCCTTGTTTATACTCTTAAAGATGGCTCACCTTGAGGGCTGCCTTTCCACAAGTGGGAAGGGAAGAAGGAAACACCCTTCCTTTAAGGACATGTTTCAAGTACCAGACATTCCTTCTACATTATTCTATTGACCAGAACTTAATCACATGGTCACACTTACAAGGGAATCTGGGAAATGTAGTATGTAGCTGGGTAACCAGGCGTCCAGCTAAAAATCTCTTATTGTAGAAAAAAAAAAGGAAAACAGCTATATTGGGGCACAATTAGAAGCGTCTTTGATGTGTTGGGTGCTCACCTAAACCAGTTCATGTAAATCTCAAGACGTCCTTAAGAGGAAGGTAGATTTATCCTTACTGGTAAGAAGAGAAAACAGCCTCACAGAGTTTAAGTAACTTGCAGTAGTAATGTTGTAGAGCAAGAGTTTGCAACCAGATTTGTCTAAAACCCAGGCCCACTTTCCACTCATATAATTCCTGAGAAATCAGAGTCTATAGAACCTGCTATAGTTTGAGCCATTTTGATCCTGGTTATGCCATTCTTTAGTTTAACCGGGCTTACGGAAAGTTGTGGAAGAGTAGAATAATAGAACCTTCTTTTCCAGAAAAAGTCCAAGCTGAGATCGACAGGGTGATTGGCCAGTCGCACATAGCAAGCACAGCCGCTCGAGAGTCCATGCCCTACACCAATGCCTTCATCCATGAGGTGCAACGAATGGGAAACATCATCCCCCTGAATGTGCCCAGGGAAGTGGTAGATGATACCACGCTAGCTGGCTACTACCTGCCCAAGGTAACCAGGGACTCTCAGCCTCAGATCTTCAAACCCATCTTTTAGAGCTCTGAACTGGAAAGTGACTCATACTCTTGCCTTAGGGAATCACTTAAATGGGAAAGAGATATATTATACCTGAGATAATACTAGTTTTTTTCTCCATGTGTGATCTTTGGAACATTAATCCAATGAGACGTTAATAGGTATTACGGAGGGGAAAGGGGATTCCTAGGTCAAATATGTTTAGGCAGAGACCGGCTTTTCTTTGCTGTGGGATGTCTCAGTGGGTTTTTTTATTCGTTTGTTTGGTTTTACTATGTAATGTGCATTATGTGTCTTTGTGGGGATACAGCAAGCAGCAGTTCTCAGACTTTGCCACGGAGCCCTTTTCTTTGCCTTTGTGGAGCTTCTCACAGTGCTAGGAACCTGCCAGACTTGGAAAATTCTGCTTCACAATCCTGGGGTTCTAGAACATTAAAATAGGAAGGGACATTTGAGACCACCTGGGTCAATATCACATTAATGCTGGAGTATTTTTTCCAGCTTTTACTTACAGACCTGTCATGGGACTGCCTCACAAAGGAAACCAATCCAGGTGTATGCAATATGAATTATTAGAAAAAGAAAGGAACCAATACTTATTAAGCAATGAGTATGTAACATGGACTATATAGATTCTTTCAAAATGTATTCATCAGTCTTCAGAATACCTATTATTCCCATTTTATAAATTGGAAAGTCGAGGCTCAGGAGTGATGAAGCTCGCATAAGATCTCTCAACTACAAAGAGACAAGAGTTGGGTTCCAGAACCAGATCGGTTTGTTTCCCAGGCTCATCTTTTTTGTACTACACCATGTTCTCTCCACAGGAGTTGCCTTACTTGGACTTTAAAAGAGTCTCCCTGCAAGTGTTCTCAGTTGGCCCCTGTTAAATTCCTGTCCTCACAAAGGAAATTCTGTTCTCTCCGCCCACCAGTCTTAAGATCTAGGCAGACAGCTCTCCTCTGCCCTCTGGTGTCGTCTCTGCACATTGCACATTTACAGTTCCTTTCCTTTCTCAGGGTGTCGGTTGGCTTCTGTGGATCCATTCCAGTTTGTCTAGATCCCTCTGTGTGTGTCTTACCGGGAACTTCTCTCAACAGGCAGAACCAGGGGAGCTTACCTATTCCTATCCTATTCCTACGGCTGTTTCCATTCACTGTTTTCTTATTGATAGACATCTCGTGGGTGAAGGCTTAAGTCTAAATTATTTCACAGGTGCAGTGTGCATTTTTCTAGCAATTCATTTAGCTCAACAGACTCATTCTACCACTGGCTTTAAAGATCAGCTTTAATAAAGATCCTGGGAGGGGCGCCTGGGTGGCGCAGTCGGTTAAGCGTCCGACTTCAGCCAGGTCACCATCTCGCGGTCCGTGAGTTCGAGCCCCGCGTCGGGCTCTGGGCTGATGGCTCAGAGCCTGGAGCCTGTTTCCGATTCTGTGTCTCCCTCTCTCTCTGCCCCTCTCCCGTTCATGCTCTGTCTCTCTCTGTCCCAAAAATAAATAAACGTTGAAAAAAAAAATTTAAAAAAAAAATAAAGATCCTGGGAACTGAGAGATCTTAGTGACTATATCTTGTAGAGGCCAGGAGCCATGCCTTTGACATGAACTAGACCTTGTACAGATCACGGCTTTACCTCTTCCCACTGCGTAACTCTGGGCATATCACTTCACCTCTCAGAGCTAAGACTTATCTATCTGTAAAATGCCATTTAAAACTACTTCATGGATGGAGAGAAAATGAGGTCATGCATGTAGTGTTTAGTGTAGAAAGTGCTCAAAATAGCAGTGATTTACTAACTTAACAAATATCCAGTAAGCATCTAAAAGGCTCCCACCTGGGAAAACAACTCTGAACAAAATAATCATGCAAGTATATACTTATAAACCACGGAAACTGCCCAGAGGGGAGAACCCGCTGGTTTCCATAAAGATACAGGCCAGCTGGAATGGGGAGGAGGGGCACGAGTGGTCTGAGAGGGCTTCCAAACGGAAGTGGTGTGTGAATTGAGGATTAACGAGTGATGGAGACTTAGCTCAGTGACAAAGTAGGGAGGAAGGGCGTCCAGGCAAGGAGAACAGCTTATAAAAAGGCCTAGAAATGAGTGGGAACGTAGCATGTTTGGGAAGCTGAAAGAAGGCGTCTGGAGTGCAAGTGCAGGAAGAAGGAGAGTGGTCCAGACAGGGGTCAGGAGATGGGTCTCTCCCCTAAGGGTGATGGGAAGCCAGTGAAGGGTGTTCAAGGTGTGGGTGGGCGGCTGGGGGTTGGCATCATTCTATCATGTCCAAAGCTCACTCTGCTTTTAGAGCGTGGAGCAGATTGAAAGGCGAGAGAGGCCACGGGCATGGTGGGCAGCTCTTACAAGACTGTAGGCAAGGCAGCTGGTAGCCTGGATCAGAGGCGGGGGTGGACACAGAATGGAAGTGACAGAACCAAGAGACATATAAAGTAAAAGTGAGCCGCCTCACTAAAGGATTGAAGGCAGAATGAGGGAAAGGGAGACAACACAGAGGACTTCTCGTTTCTCGTTGTGTCCTTCGATGAATTGTGGTTCCTTTCACTGGGGGACCTGATCCTATTATTAAGCCTTCTGTGGAGTATACCAGACACTAAAGGGAAGAGAATGAGAAAAAGAGAGATGCACGGGGTATCTTTTACCTGGGTAGAGCTGCCAGAGTTATCACTTCGCTGAGCGGCTGGGTTGATTTGGGTATGGTACTGACTAGCTAGCTGTTGCATTATTCTCTCTGGTGTAGACATGTCCCTGTAGAAAGATCCATTCTGCAGTCAGTAGAAGCTACACTTCTCTGATAAAATTCCCTGCAAGCCCATCATTTTAAGCTATACCATTGCAAAGAGCAGGGTGGCTGCGGGGGAGGGGGTGGTGGGTGGGTAGGGGTTAGGCTCAGAAGACAGTGAGTTGGGGAGTGTGAGGGAGTCTGGGGTGTGGTCAAGCCCTGGCGTGGGAGTCAGGTGACTGCTGCACTTCTGAGTACACGTGTTGCATGGGTCAAGCCTCGCCTGAGTGTTTTCTGCCTTTTCTAGGGAACCGTGATCATTACCAATCTGACTGCACTGCACAGGGACCCAACAGAATGGGCCACCCCCGACAGGTTCAATCCGGAGCATTTTCTGGAGAATGGACAGTTTAAGAAAAGGGAATCCTTTCTGCCTTTCTCAGTAGGTGAGTTGTGACAGAAGGAGTGTGAGAATCCACAGTCCCTCTTTTGGCCCTTCCCTACCCTTTTCCCCGTCATGCTTGGCTTTTTGAAGGTTTCCAGATAGCCCTGTTCAGCGTGACTCCCCTCCTGCTGTTCTCCGCACCTGTGGACTCCTTACTTCCTCAGCCCTTGCTTGCATCTGATGGAGGTTTTAGCTTTACTTGGTTCTGTTCCCCAGAGCACTGGGGACAGAGATTCAGTCCCCATCTCTCGCTCACAAAGAAGGTTGGATATTTGCTATCTCTATAGAGCTTTTAAATGTCTCAAGTTCTTTTTAAAAGCCACCCACTCACATAGAGCTAGAGGCAATTTATAAAAATAGGATGGGGGTGGGGCAAGGGAAGGGGCTACTTGTTTATCATTATGGCCATCAGGAATGACTCTGGATGCCACTGTCCTAACTAGGTGGGATTCTACCCTAAGAGGTGCTTTTGATTTTTACAATTTTAATTACGCTTTAAAAATCTGGCTAATACATTTATATGGTACAAAGCTTGTGAAGTACAAAAGAGGATGTAGTGAAAACTCTCACATGTTTCTAAGCCAGCCAGTTCCAAAAGGGTGTTTTAATTCTTAACATTGTAAAATGAATAAGAAAAATTCTTAGAATATTCCAGGTATTGAGTTAGGGTATGTTGCTTAGATTTTTTTTCAAGCAATTCCCCGATTCCTGAATTCTATAAAGATTTCTTGGGCATCTATTACGTGTCAAGCATCAACTCTGAGGATTTTACAATGAATGAAGTGGAAAAGAAAAACAAAAACTGCTCTCATTAGCATGCGCTCTGGTGTAACATTGCAGGGTTCACATTACTAGAACCACTTCAAAGATAAAGAGACTGAGGCTTAGAAGGGTATGACATCTAAAGTCATCAAATTCATGTGGCAGAGCTACAACTCAGTGTTAACCAGATTTATCAAAAACTAAAGCCTGTGTTCTTCCTAGCACTGTCTCCTAAACATACACATATATGTACGTATATATAATAATATAGTTATATTATTTAGTTATATACATATAACTAAATGCTACACGGAGCCCATACTGTGGAATGCACGATAGTCTGCTTATCATTAACTTAAAAATAAATACAGATTGCTTTTCTGATCCGATATCCTTTTGCTGTTGATGACACTAGGGCTCAGAAGGGGAGGAACTGGAATTTGATAAGACCTGAAGTCCAAGGTGCAGCACCACCCTGTTTTCTGGGCTGATTTCTGATTAGAGCTTCTTTGTCTTTCTTCACCTGATTCCAAGTCATCTTTGCTCCCATTGGACAAATCCCTCCCTGATAGGAAAGCTGCTGTGAGATATAGGAATACCTTCCAGTCTTCTGTCTACAGTAACTTCAAGTTTTATATTTCAGTACCAAGTCCCAGCCGTCTATTTCAAGGATTGGACTATAATTATTTTTGCCTCACTGGTGCTTTGCTATTGAGAATTTTGTCACACCCTCTTAATTACAGACTTCATTTGCAAGCACATTATCTCATTTAATCTTTGCAGCCACCCAGTTATTAATAACTAGGAAAGCGATCAGTATTTCCTTTCTTCATATAAGGAAACTAAGAATAACAGAGTGGTTTCTTATCCAAGGAATGAGGCAGAACAGGGCCTACGAGTTAAGGTTTTATACTTCTCATCTACTGCTGTCTTTAGCACGACTAGAATATAACTCTCTTCCCCCTTCAAGTCCTTTTCACTTTGATTCAGAGTTCATTCCACAGGTGTCAGCATACGTACGCATAACAAACAGTCCACGAATGCAGCGGCTTAAAATGATAAGTTATTAAAACAATATTAGTGCTTACAAATCTACACTTCAGTTAGGGAGTTCTGGTCTTAGCTGGGTGTGTTTATGTGTTTGGGAGGTCAGCTGGCTGAAAGGCTGATCTGGGACCTCAGCTGCAACCACAGGGCTTTCCATGTTACCTCTCATTCTCTGTCAAGCTAGCCTGAGTTTGTTTACATGGTAGCCATAAGATCCCAAGGAGGAGAATGGGTGGAGCTAGAGAGTGTAATGCTAAGCGAAATAAGTCAGAGAAAGACAAATACCATATTTCACTCGTAGGTGGAATTTAAGAAACAAAGCAAACCAGCAAAGGAAAAAAAAAGAAGAAGAGAGAAAGACAAACCAAGAAACAGACTCTTAACTATAGAGAACAAACTGAGGGTTACCAGAGTGGAGGTGGGTGGGGGATGGGTGAAAAAGTGATAGGGATTAAGGAGTGCACCTGTTGTGAGGAGCACTGAGGAATGAATAGAACTGTTGGAGCACTATGGTGTACTCCTGAAACTAATATAACACTGTATGTTATCTATCCTGCAATTAAAATAAACAGCTTTGTAAAAAAAAAAAAAAAAAAAATGCCAGTCATGGAAGTTGAGGCATCACTTGCATGTCAGCCAAATGCAACAGCTGACACTCAACTGGTCCTTTTACAATAAACGGCACTATCGGGACCACTGGCAAAACCTGACTGGGGATCTCAGGAGGAAATGGTGGTGATGCATCGGTGTTTCCTTGAGTTGGTGGTTATATTGTAGTTATGTCGAGAATGTCCCCGTCTGTAGGAAACACATACTAAAGAGTTCACAGGTAATGTAGACAGTGTATGCTCAGATAACTTGGGAGAAACAAGCTCTTTGTATTATTTTTGCAACTTCTGTACTTTGAAAGTGTTTCAGAATAAAAGGCATGATAGGGAAAGTATAACAGTAAATAAATAACTGTAACATACAGAAAGCTATCTTAATAATATTGCCACCCAAAATGTTTCACTTAAGAAGTGTTTTCAATCATATTCTTCCAATTTTTGAGAATTAACCAGATGAAGTTAATGCTAAGCTCTTTCACGGCTAGAATATTTATTATTATCCAGGTGATATGTTAAAATACTTTGTTTTGCTGTGTAAGTTATTGAATTCTTTGCTCTATTTGGATTCAGTATGTAGCCCACACAATATATAAAATAAGGTTCCCATCTTACACACACACACACACACACACACACACACACAGAAGTGTCCCTTGATAACTGAAGAGGTTACTTAATTAGTCCCAAATCACAGGGCTAGAATTGGAGGAGTTGAATTGGCTCTCCCTTCTTCTGCTTCCAGGTCCTCCCTCACTAACAGGGATTGGGATGTGGCTAGGTTGGTGCCAAGTGTGAGCTAAGGGATCCAGCAAGGGCCCCACGTCAGAAGCAAAAACCCCACTGGGGGAAAGACCACTGTATATAAGAAGGACTATTCAAGGAGGGAACCTGAGATAATTCCAATGCAAAGGGCCATCCATGGCCGTGAGGTCCCCAGTCATTAACAAGGAAAACACGACATGGGGGACAGATGTCCTACATTTTAGAAAACCTGCTCTGACATTCACTGGCTTCTACTTTTCAACAGTTTTGTTATCTGCTAGTGTTGTTGTTTGCTGATTGATTTTGAAAAGTCTTTAGGCTACACATTCACCTTCTAGGTCAACCCAGGCCTCCCTCCTCTTCTGGTCCCTCACCCTGTACCTTCGCCCTGTGCGTCAGCTGCTTGACCCTTGAAAGCATTGGAGTCCAGACTTATACTCGGCCTGGCTGGCTATCAGATTAAAGGAGCCTCCATACGTAAAGCTGTGGGGCCTTCCAGCCCCTTCTCCTACTCAGGTTTTGCAAGAAGTAGATGTCAGCCCCACACTAGATGGGAAGATGACCTATCTTATGCTTTTGTCTTCCAGGGAAGCGGGTATGCCTTGGAGAACAGTTGGCCAAGTCTGAGCTGTTTATCTTCCTCACTTCCCTTGTGCAAAAATTTACCTTCAGGGCCCCCGACAATGAGAAGTTGAGTCTGAAGTTCAGAATGGGCATCACAGTCTCCCCAGTCAGCCACCGCCTCTGTGCAGTCCCTCGGTCTTGAAGTTGTCAGGGAGTGACCCTGAGGGACGATCGGAGGAATTGGACTCAGGAAGCTCCATGCAAATCCCAGCTTTGCTGTCTCCTCTGATGGAACCTTGAGCAGATCTTTTATGTTGTGAATGATTTACCCTTTTCATCCAGGAGATGAAAAGCAGATAATGGTTCCTGCTCTCAAGGAAGAACTATTACAAAAACCAGAGGGAGAATGGACTTTGAGTGATTCGGAAACCATAAAGCTTATCATAAAAGTTCTAGCTGAAATCTGCCTCTTTCTTGCCAGCTTCCTTAGACACGGATTTGGTTCTGGCCTGTGGAGGTAGCTCAGGTCAAAGTGGTGCCAAATGGTTGGTAAGAGTTAGAATGTGGACCCTGAGGCAGCCAGAGGCTAGCCACAAATGCGCTCACTCGTGGTAGCACTGTGCAAGCATTATCTTGCTCCGGCCTCAGAATGGCCCTCTGGCAAGTCAGCAGGGCAACTGTCACCCCCTATTTATAGGCGGGTTTCTAAGAAGCAGCAGTTTGTAAGGTTTACCTAAAGAAACACTACCTTGGCCTTGAACTCAGGAGCAAGCAGAGGGCGACCACTGTCAACTAAACCTGGGGAACAGGTTTGGGAAACAATGTGGAATTATCTTCTTTGAGGGTCACTCTTTGCCTCAATTCCTCTATCAGGCATTTATTCTCAAGCTGTTCACATTGGATTTAACTATGTGGTGGGTGTGAGTTTTCTTGCAAGTAGATGGGTCCGTTTTTGAATGGTAAGTATTACCAGCCTAAACTCAACTGAGCCCTGGTATAGTAGTTTATAGTAGGGAACCAGAAATGCCAGGATCCTGCTCAACCCTTCTGTACGTATTTGCTGAAGGGAGACAATGGCCATAAAATGGACGGCTGAGTAACACTCATGGTCCGTGGAGTTTTGACACCAACCCCAATGCAAACACACACAAAGCCACCTGGGAAACTGGACTAAACCACATAGAAGATCTTTTTTCCCCTAAGGTAGAGACTCTGTGTGCTTCTGCCTGCTCTTTTGGAACTTTGCTACCACCAGTGAATCAAGCTCCTGTTACCCTGATGGATGACGAGAAACACATAGCCCAGGTATTACTGTTATGTTGCCCTGGCTGCCAGCTACCCAACCACCCGAGCTGTGCTCAGACCCTCCGACGTGAGCTGGACCTGAGCACATCCAGCAGCCGAATGAACGTAGATGCATGAGTGATCCCAGCTGAGACAAGAGTTGCCCAACTGAACTCAGCCTAAACCGCTCACCTTAGATTTGTGAGTTAAACGGTTGTTTGAAGCCACTATGTTTTCAGCTGTATTGTTATACGACAGTAGTTAACGAATACATTCCTACAGGGCAGGAACAGTATCCGTCTGGTTTAAGAACAGTGCCCTGAACATGATAGGGCTCAATAGATAGTGAATTAATGGATAAAATAAGGTAGAATAATTGTGGGCTAATGTTAGATTGGACCAATCGCTCCAAATCAGGTCTCTGCCGCTGCGCCTCTGTCCTTGTCACCTCATTCTAATGACCTGTTTCTCAGTCCTGATGCCAACTTCTGTTAGAATCCTTTAGGAACACAGTGGAGGAGTACAGGTTTGTTCTGACCTCACTGTTTCCTTCCATTTCCCAGGTGGCTTTCTGGAATGGGGCCACCTATCCCTCTTCCCCAGGCTTAGTTCTCAAGAACAGGCTGATGTCCCTGGATGGGTATTTTGTACTGTCTGGTTCACACTGTGTTTCTGTGCATTCACCGTGAGCTATGTGTTCTGCTCTGAAAAGCTAAGAACTTTTCCCTGTGCTTTTGAAGCAGATAAGAAATGAAATTAAGCAAGAATAAAGGGTCAAATGCAACGGGTCACTTTCAGGGGCTGGCACAGAATCTCTGATGATGCCTGTTGCAACAGTCAGGGTCAGAAGAGAGGCTTCTCTTAGCCCCAGTACATGAAAGGTCCAAAGATACCACAGGGCTCTTGTCATATATATAACAACATTAAAAGATGTGGGTGGGGTGGGGGAGTGTAGCATGGAGAGTCAGGTGACTGGGGGCCAGGCCTGAATTCAGTTCTAAATTTTACCATTTATTCACTTTTGCTTGTGAATTAAACAGGCTACTTTATCTTCCTGAATTCACATCCTAATCTGCAAAATAGAATTAAATAACACCTGCTGTGGTAAATTATGAGACTGGTCAAAAGACCCACTATCCCTCTCTGGGTTGCCTTTCTTTGTGGTGCTCTTTCCACGGGACTTTTTTATATAATCACCCTGATACATCCAAGAATGGCCATGACATTCGCTCAGTAAAATGAGAGCACAAGTTCCACAAGTTCAACATGTTTCTTTTTTCTCTGCCATGAGACCAGCAATGTCCCAGATAAGGGTCTGAGGCCTACATCCAGGTGACAAAGACAGAAAGCAGAGTCCTAGCTGATGCAAGATGGACACGAGATACGACAAACCTATTTTGTTGTGAGCCACTAAGACTTCGGGATTATTAGTTATGCAATATAAGTTATCCTAAACTGACAGACACATCAGCATTTTAATTGTGAGGACCATATAGATTTATGTTTGTAGTTACTGTGAACACCAAATATATGTGTGTGTGTCTCTATATATACATAATATACAAAATGTTACTTTAATACATATTAAATACTTAAACATAAATTTATATATTACATATAGTGTATATCGTATATATTATATTAAAGTAACAGTGTATTTGGCATATAATAAATTGTGGTTGCAATGCTATTATAGTTATTTCAGACAAAACATTTTTGTTATTTCTACACCTTTTTTTCTAGACAATTTGATCTTTTCCTCACTGGAGTCACAGAACAATATGTTCCCCCTACTGACTCCAGGGTCAGCATAGGCCCTTTCGCAGGGCTGCTGCATGGTGAAACCCCAGGTGCTACCACTGGCTGTCCTCCCCTCGTAGTGAGTGGCGTCCTCTGGAGTTGGACTGTGGATGGCCATGGGTAGGGGCCTGCTCCTTGGCCGGGCGGGCGTAGGATAATTTTTGTGATCGGAAAGCTGCTCACCTCATCAACCATGTCTCTCAGTATTTCTGCCAAACTAGTGAGCTCCTATCAATTCCCTAGACAGGCTAGGTCCTCTGTCATTTTCACGTCTTTATATAAGCTATTTTTTTCTATAAGAAGTCTCTCATCACACGTGGCATACCTAGCCCTACATGTCAACTCTTCAATGACATTTTTCTTGACTCTCAGCCGGTTGGTTGCTTCCTCCTTCATTCTCTGAGAGTTTTACTTCAAAGCTTTAAAGTCCTATATCCGTGTAATCTCTCCCAGTTACCCTGAGCTTTTTGGGGGTGCCTGTGCCTGAGTTTTGGTGCATATAGGAGATGCTCGGTAAATGTTTGTTGGACCTATGGGCTGGGGGTGAGCCGCCAAGTGACTACGGCAGAACAGAAGCTTTAAAGGTGCAGGGTGTCAAGCATTTCCTGCTGCTGTGCAAGAAGACTCTTAGTTCTATGTGCCTCAAGTTCACAGTCAGAGACTGCATACTAAGGTCCCTGCTACTTCCAGAATCCTGATTTATGGGGAGAAGAACTTCCGAAATGGCAAATCAAGGACCTCCAAAAGCCACTCCTCTATAAAAGCAACAAGCAAAGTAGCAAAAGTTGTCAGAGTCAGCATTTCTGGAACCCTGAAAAGTAACCAAAGTCTTGCAACAATCTGAGCATTTGTTTAAGGCAGAAAAAATAAAAATAAAAGAGCTGGGTCTCAATCAGAACGGCAAGCGCTGTGGCATGTGAACCTGCCCTATTCCTGCTCTCTTCTCCCCAGCTCTGCAGTCTCCTTGAAAAGCAGCAGCCTCCCAACTATGGAGCTGAGACAGCCAAGTGCCAAGCAACCACTGGAGGGAGCGGGGTAGGGGTGAGGTGGGGAGGGTGGGTGGCTGGAGCAGCCCGAAGGCACCGTGCCCAAACAGCGGTCGGTGGCTACCTGACCTGTCTGGCAGTTCCTTGAAAAACCCCATTTTCAGGGCATATCTTTATGTGACCTGACTCAAAGTTCAGTCTGTGTGAACCACACCATAAGGCATTCGTTTAAAACAAAAATCGGTAACAATTTTACCACACTATGGTCACCCCAGGTGGCAATACCCAATGGTGCTAACGAGAGGATGGAAAGGGAAAACCCGGGAAGGAGATGTCCATGGGGCTTCCAACAGTTCTGGCATATTTCTGGGAATCTAAATGGCCAGGTATATGCAAGGACCGTGTGTGTGGCCAGGAAGGACCTGGCAAGGCCCAGATCTCTCACTCTGGCCAAGCCTGAGGCTCACAGGAGGAAAGCAAGAAATGAAGGCTAAGACAGAGTTGTAAAGTACCTGCTAGAGTGTCAGATGTAACCTGACTCCTATGCAGAGCCCTGAGAGGCTTCAAGGCATTTAAGGAAACTTCTGCCCACAGGGTAGCTGAAGTCAGTGATAACAGAGGAGAATGCCCACCGGCTGCCCTTAAGGAGGAACAGAAATTTTACAGAATCAGCCCCAGAAAGTCACCAGACAACAAGCAACAAAAATAACAACAGTAATAATAACAGACCTGGGTGGTTTCTGATCTCCAGAGTCTCCTCATTATACCATTTAAAATGTCAAATTTTTAACAAACAAGTTATAAACCACGTAAAGAAACAGGAAACTATGGCCGACACACAGGATCCAGAGCAAACAACAGAAACTCCCTGAGGATGCCCAGACAGTGGATTTATGAGACAAAAAAAACTCAAGATGAGTTATTTTTAACAGCTTTAAATTATTAATAAATTCTAACTAATATTTATTTCAGTTTAAAAGACTTTAATGTGAGATATTTTTGCACATATTTTTGGTGTGCAACTTGTCTTTATATGTAAGTATGCACTGTGAAAAAAATCACCACAATCAAGCTACATAACTTATCCATCCTCTTTATAGTTAACCTTGTGTGTGTGTGGCGGGGGGGGGGGGGGGTGGTGGTTAAGATCTATCCTCCTAGAAAACGTCAAGTACAAAATGCAGTAGTGTTAACTACCATCACCACGATGAACATTAGATCTCCAGAACTTTTCACCCCACATAACTGAACATTTTTGTACACTTTAGTGAACATCTCCCCATTTCCCACACCCCCAGCCCCTGGCAACCACAATTTTACCCTGTGCATTTATGAGTTCGGCTTCTTAGATTTCACATTTCAGTGAGATCATGGAGTATTTCTCTTTGTCTGTCCTACTTCACTTACCGTGTCCTCCAGGTTCACCCTTGTCGCAAATGGCAGTGTTTCCTTCTTTTTCAAAGGTTGAAAAATACTCCTGATTTCTTCTTATTGCCACATCAGAGGACTGTCTTCCATTTCTAATATCCCCTTACTTTCTAGCCCGCCCTATTATTTCTTATGGATAGCACATAGTCTTGCTTTTTTTTTTTTAAATCCATTCAGCGTCTGTATCTTTTGGTTGAAAAGTTTAATCAATTTTTACCTAAAATATTGATACAGAAGAATTTATTACCATTTTGTTAACTGATTTGTTTGTTTTGTAGCTCTTTTTTTATCTTCTCTCCTGCTATCCTTCTTCATGGTTTTTTTTTTTTTTTTCTATTGATAGGCTTTTATTCTTTGCTCATTTTCTTTTGTGTAACTTCTGTAGGTATTTTCTATGTAGTTAATGTGGGGCTTACATAAACTATGGTTATAACAATCTATTTCAAGTGGGTAACTTCACGTATAAACAAATCTCTACACTTTTACCTCTCCTCTTCCCCCCATTATATACTAATGATGTCACAGTCAACAACTATTTATATTGTGTATGCATCAACAACATTTATAGTTGCTGTGAATACTCTCATCATTTACTCACCACTATAATAGTAACACAGTATTCTGTTTTTGTCTATATTTACCTTGGCCAGTGAGTTTCATACCTCCTTATGTTCTTGTGTTGTTGCTATTTAGCATTCTTTCATTCAACTAGAAGAACCCCCTTTAGTTGTTTTTTTTTTTTTTTTTGAGAGAGAGTGAGCCCAAGCACATGATGGAGGAGGGGCAGGGGGTGAGGGGGAGAGAGAATCGAAAGCAAACTGCATGCTCCACCCTGAGCCTGACCCTTACTAGGTCATGACCTGACCTGAAATCCAAGAGTCTGACACTTAACCCACTGAGCCATCCTGGCCACCCACTCTCCCTTTAGTAATTCTTGTCAGGCAGGTCTAGTAGTAATGAATTCCTTCAGCTTTTGTTTATCTAAGAGTCTTTACCTCCTTTTTATTTTTGAAGGACATGTATGTCAGGATTAGTACTCCTGATAGGTAGTTTTTGTTTTTGTTCTTTTTCCTTTCAGGTTTCTGAATATATATGGTCCCACTCTGTATATTCAGACTGCAAGATTTTGCTGAAAACTCTGCCCATAGTCTTAAGGGGTTCCCTTGTGTGTAATATGCCTTTTTTCTTTTGCTGTTTCAAAATTCTGTCTTTAACTTTTGACAGTTTGTCTTGGTGTGAGTCTCCTTCATCTTATTTGGTATGTTTTGGGCTTTATGGATCTGGTTTTCAATTTTTTTCTCCCAGGTTTGGAAGGTTTTCCGGTATTATTTCTTTGAGTAAAGCTTTCCACCCATTTCTCTTTCTTCCTTCCACAACTCCCATAAGGAGTATTACTTAAGTCACTTAAGCTATCTTCACATTTTCATTCTTTTTTCTTTGTGCCCATTTTACTGAATGATTTCCAATGACCTTTTAGTTTCATTGATCTTTTCATCTGCTGAATCTACTCTGTTAGTAAAGCTCATTTTTTAAGTTTTCAGTTCAGTTATTGTATTCTTCGACTCTATGATTTCTGCTTGGTACTTTTTAATATTTTCTATCTCTTTGTTTATATTCTAACTCTGCTCATGGTTGTCGTCCTGAGTTTGGTGAACATCGTTAGGATCATTATTTTTCATTTTCTGTTAGGTAAATCACAAATCTCCATTACATTAGGGTCAGTTTCTGGAGATTCACCTTGTTCTGTTATCCAGAACAGATTTTCCTCTTTCTTCATTTTCCTTGACACTCTATGTTGCTTTCTGCACATTAGATAAAACACCCACCTTTCCAAGTCTTCACAGACTGGCCTCACATAGGAGATGAGCCTCACAAATCAGCCTGGCCAGAGATTGTGGATGCCTCTCAAACCTCTGTGCT